CTTTGGATTAGTGATATTCTCCTGGATTTCAAGAGTGTTATGCACAGTGACGAAGCTAGGATTTTAACTCAGGGGGGCCCGAGTTTAAGTGTTAAATAACGAGTTTGTAATTTACGTTTCTTTCATTTCATATAAAGTTGCTTTTACTTATAATTATAGATATTAATATGTGTACCTTCAAGTTTTTATAAGAACTTAGAATCCATATCACCCTCAAACTTTTTTTTAAGAAAAAAAGAGATTTCGTGTATTTATAATTTAAGTTTAAGATCCTAATTTATGAAAAATAATTTTTTTTGTTCAAAATTTGATTTAAATTGAACACATTGCATATCATTTTTGTTGATTAGAGCTTATCAAATGACCATTTTTTTAATAAAAATTAAATAAAGTTGAAAATATGTGATTACATAAAAAAATAATAAAGTAAAATAATCAACATTCAAATATACAATCGATTAACATTAAAAAATCTAACAATCCAACTAAATTCTAGGTTTTATAAATCATTATATTGAAATTACAATTAAAAGGCCGAAAGAGTAAATTATTATAAATATTTTCAAAATTTTATCCAGAAATGTAAAAATAATGATTGTTAGTATACTTTTCAATAAATAAATAATTTTATTTACTTTAAACTAAAATTGCATTGAGAATAAGTTTTAATTATTTATATATTCTACATATTTTTTTTACATTTTATTCATTTTTTATAGTATATAAGTTTTATATATATATATAATGATTTTAAAAAAAAAAAAATTAAGGGGGGCCCACGGCCCCCCTGGACCTAATACAGGTCCGTCCCTGGTCATATGCAATCTACTCTTCACACAATGGATGATGAAGCCAAAGTCATTCTGATTGCAAGTTAAATTATTTACCAAATAATATTATGTCTTCTTCAACGTAAAAAACTGAGAAGATAAAAGGCAAGTGCTAGAAGTAATCTATGACGTCTAAAATGAACCAAAAACCATACATCTAACTATTATCTATAAGGAACATGTACTATGTACAAAAATAATCCAATACTTACAGCAGGAGCAGCTTCCAGAGCTCCATCAGCAGTCGAAAAGGTGACATGTTCCAATCCATTTTCCTTCATATACTTGGGACCCAACTGCAAATAAAAATAAAAATAAAAAAACTGTTCATTTTCGATGCAATAAAATATAAATACAAAAGAAAAAAAAAAAGAATGGAAAATAAGCTTACATATGTAAATCCGGTGGCAACTCTTAAAGGTTTCTCAGATGTCCACTGTGGCATCTGAGCCAGCTCTTTCAAAGAATTTATGTTCTCAAATATGCCATACTTGGGGATCTGATACAACAAATGAAATTATATTCCCAACAATACAAGTGAGAAGAGCATGTGCGCGAGAAGGGTTCTCAATTTTCTAGAGTTCTGAATGTATAACTTACTGCAAGTGATAAACGACAGTCCCCATAGCCAAGAGCTTCATGAACAAGAATGAGATCTTCATCGCCCTACAAGAATTGTCTGACTGAGGAGAATCGAGTTTTGAGGGGGAAATTAATAGAAGAAACGTAAATATCAAGTCAGCATGCTGAGTGAGCGTGAAGGGTGCACTAGTATTAATTGACTGTTAGGAACAGCATACGTATACTCAGAAACAGATAACAAAAAAATAATACCAACGACATACAGCATAAACACCAACTTCTGAACATCGGACTGAAACCTCACATTCACGAGTTTAGCAGTAGAGTATGACATATGAATGGATTTTTTCTTTGGATAACTCAAGCACGAATATCTAAAACTCTTTCAATAATATTGAAGAAAATGAGAACCTGTCGTGCTAATTATGCCACATATTAATAGAGTAGGCCCTTCGAAGACCCTAAACTTATACCTGCCCATATTCGTTTACAGTGTCCAAACCAACAATTCCAAGGTCTAAATCTCCGGATACCAGCTTCCTCACGATGTCTTTTGGCCGTTGAAACCAAACTTCTAAATTTGCAAGCTGCAACATCATCACAAAGGCTATATTTAGCAACACATATGTAATACAAACCCACTTAACTTTATCAAAAAAGTATATGAAGACATCAGCAAGAGTACACAAATATATCAATCCGATAATATTTTCCATGGAAATAGGACGATTCGATCTAATGTGGCATTGCAGATGTAAAATCAAGAACAAGCGTACACTGTAAAGCCCATAAACTATATACAGAAGTTATCCTCCCCCCTGCATTGGCATAACGGTACTTGGATTCCCTTTTTCAGATTTTCTGACTACATTCGAGCCCAAGTAATCGAGTAACGACCCAAATTGATAATAGAAGACCTCAAACGGCTGACAACTCATGGACCAAAACTTTAAATCAGCAAAAGCACAGCAAAGAATGAACAGATAAACCCATTGCAACAGCTAAAATACAACTCTAAGGGCTTAGGCACGCAGATGAGCGGCACACCTGTGGAATTTCCGCAACATACTGCCGCAGATTCACTTGTTTCACCGGTAATTGACAATCCTGCACACAGAATTAGACCGAGTTAATCCAGCAACTGCCCACAGACGATAAAAGAAGATTACAATCGACAGTTGATGGATTGGAATTACAAAGATAAGGAGAAACAGAAACAGTAGTGAAGATACCTTGAGAAGATCAAGAGTGTCCACTGCCATTCGGCCTTTACTGGGCAGCCCTAGTCGAACTTCATTCCTCTCGCGCTTCTTGCCCACATTCCCGTTAACCCCAGTAGCTGGCGATGCCACCGAGCAACATGAGACGAGTTTCAAGGAGGAGGAATCGCTCAAACGGTACGATGGTGTTTGGAATGACGGGGTTGAACCAGGCGGGCGTTGCAGGAGAACTGTTCGTACCAAAGCCATTTCTACGAATTTATCCTCGCTCCCGCACTGTGCCACCGGAAAACTGTTGAACCAGGCGATCTCCAACCGTCCACCGCCAGTTTTCTTTTTTATTTATCTTCAGTTTCAACCTTCATAAGCATATAACTAGTATGTAACACGTGCGATGCACGAGCTGTATTTATTTTAGAGAATATTAAAATTAAAATGTATTAATAAATAAAAGAGTGGTAATTTGTAGGAAAATTATCAAACTATAAAATGTTCTTCATGCAAAAAAATATATTATTTAAACTTTCTTGTACACAACATTATTTGTTCAATAACTGAGCAACTCGTCGTCCCCACAAACTAATATTTTCAACACTTTTCTATTACTTACACGCGAAACAAACAACATAATTGTCCATGACTAAAAGTCGATTTCTTTAAGAACATGTCAACATACAATAAATGTTGACCTTGACTCTTCTTGGCAACGTACAATAAATGTTGACCTTGACTTTTCTTGACCTATTACTTACACAAGTAACAACATACAATTGGTCGTGATCAAAAAAATTTTTTTTAAGAACATGTCAATGCACATTTCTTATCTATTACTTACACGTGAAAACAACAACATATAATCCATTGTTGCTAAGAACCGATTTCTTTAATAATATGTCAAAGCACATAAAGACTGACCATGATCTTAAATGAAATCCTAAGATTAGAAGTAACTGGTGCTCTATAACTTAAGTGAAATCCTAAAATAGATCTTTTTATAATATGATAGTTTACTTATGCAGTCAGACAATAAGTTGTTTGTGTAATATCGATTATACTTGATTAGCTATATAATATTCACTAATATTTCTATATTTTTTATATAAAAAGACTGACCATGACTGTTAAATAGAACCTCAAAATCAAAAGAAATTGGTGTCGCTGGAACTTAAATGGAAGTCTAAGATAGATCTATTTATAATATGATAATTTATACAACAATTGGACAAATGGATTGGCGTATATATACAAAAATATGTATAAATGATACAAAACATTAAATATTACATCACACTAATATTATGAGAGAGATTATATATAGTAGATATAAAATATAAAACATTAGTGATTAGACATTACTTCAGACTAATTTTTTTAAGCCGAACAATTTTTAATTGAATGTGTGACAACTTGTTATATATTTTCAAACTAAACAATTTTTAATTGGGCAACTTTCCTATTATATGTGTGACAACTTTCCTGTTATATATTTTGCAATAAATTTATATTTTGTGTATACAAAAACCAAAATTCGATTTACTATACAAAATTTTGAAAATTTTTCTTTTAAAAACAATTGACAAAAAGAATACCAATAAAGGAAATTGGTGTATATCTAAAAAAAATTGTATATATCTCATATAAAATCGTTCATTCTCAAAATCTGCTATAATGAAAATTATATTTAAGTATTAATATAAATATATTTATATATTAATATAAATTTATATTTTGTAATTGTTAATTCTAATAAATATGATAAAATAAAAAAGAATCATCACATATGAGAATTCCAAAATTGACGCCATGTAAATTTAAATATTACTATAAACTTGTTTTTTTTTTTTTGTGTGTGTGTGTGTATGTAACATATATGCTAATCCAAATCAACGATTCTAATAATTTTTTTAAAATAAAAAAGAATCCTTGATAAATAAGAGTTTCAAAATCGGCTACATATAATTATTTACATAATCTTTGCCTACAAAACTACTATCAACATAATTAAAGTAAACCAATAATTTACTAAAACAATACAAATCGAAAATCGAGTTATATAAAAATTATGCAATTAATGATTTATTTTTATTTAGATCAATTTATATTATTTTCATCTATGGTAGGTAATTAATGTTTTGGGCAGAAAATACTCATAAAATGTTCGAGTATGAAAAAAACATATGTTATTAAAAACCTAATTGTAAACAAAATTATTAATTTGATTATTGGGCACACTATAATAAAATAATAAAATTTCAATGGAAATCTATTCCGAAATAAATTATTCCAAGGACAATTTCAACGAATATTTCAATACTATTATTTCCGTTGGAAATTTTCAATTGATTCCAATAGAAATTCTAACAAAAATATTCCGTTGGAATGAATTTTGCATTGGAATTTCTGTTGGATTTTGACGATTCCAATGGTGGATTTTTCAACGCGGTGAAAATGAAAATTCCAACGGAATTTGCATATTCCAACGGTAAATAACCATTGGAAATATAGCAGTTGAAATCATCAAATTTCTAAGATTGACACTCACTCTTGTTTATCGTCATGACAATATAAATGAATGTTTATCTAAAAAACTTAATCTTTGAAATGTAGTGATCGCGTGTTATTTTTTAATTTCGTGATTGATAAATAAAAAGAGACCTAAACTATGAAAATTTTTTCATCTTTTGAAATCAAATAAATGACAAACACTATCTTTTAAAATAAATAATGATAACGATTATAACATTGTATATCAAAACCGATAAGGTATATAAAATTCATTTTTCTTTTCAAATCGATAATGAAGAAAAAAGTCTAATTGGTGAAAAGATGATATATACAAATCATGATTTTAGAAATCTGATATATACAAATCTTAACATGCGGTTTCAAATAATTTAATAATATAATAATAGGCTGAATGAATTATGATTCAGATTCATGCAAAGAAACTTTTGAACAGATTTCTAAAATCATGATATATACAAATCATGATTTTCCTTGGAGATTTATTCGGATTTCCAAATTGTTTAGAAAAATAGGAGATTTATTCGAATTTTGATTCCTTATGGGTTACCAATAAAAAAGTACTTGATGTTATTAATTTTTTTTTAAAAAAGGAAAAAAATGATTTACTATTTTTAGGAGATAATTAATGAAAGTGACGGGAAATTATTTCTAAATTTGATTTATGTTAATCCTTATTATATAGGATTAACATATATGTTAACATATAAGTAACATGTATGTTACTTTCACGTATATTATTTCTAACAATTATTGGAAATATGATTGATTTTTAAAAAGAAACTTTAATTGACAATTATTAATTAAATGTTTTATATTGTATTTTCAATTATTAATTAAATGTTTTATATTGTATTTTAATTTTTTTTAAAAAAAATACGTATGGTAAGTGTATTTCTTAAATTAAGTGTGTTAAGTATGGTAAGTGTATTTCTTAGATTTCTTTTGATTTTGGTTTCATATTTTGATTGTATTCCTAAAAAAAATGGATAAAAAGATATACTAATAATTAGAGATTTTGTTAAGTTACTATATTTAAGCAATAATTAATGTTTTTGGCGGGAAAAGATTACTAAAATTGAATTAAGTTAATTCTGGAAGTTAGACCCCTTTATTTGTTAATGGAAAACCTGAGTTTGATATTTATATTATTATATATTAATAGATTACACATCTCACATATATAGAGGTTGAACTTGTAATCTATATTAGAAAAATACATACTAGCAAAATAATTAAAAAAGAAAAACTAAAATTCATTAAGGTTATGTTTGGTAAAACTAAACTAGTTGATAGTTGATAAGCTAACTTATAACTTATTAATAAATTTCGAGCTTATAGCTTATAGCTGAAAAACTAGTTTATACTTGTTGATATGCGAAATTTGATCAACATGGGGTATTCAGAGAATTGTGTATATCGTTGAATTTTCTGTATAATTTCATGAATAAAAATTGAATAATCATCTTGAATTTCTGTAGAGATTAGGATAAGGATCGAGGCACCGCCTCTCCTTTTTGGATCCGAGAGAGAAAGCATCGGAGAGAGAGAGAGAGAAGGAAAAAGTAAAAGAAAAATGCTACAAGTACATAATAGATGTACATAGAGATGTACATAACACTCACATGGAGTGGGTCACTTGATTTTTTAATTTTGGTAGGTCTCATTAAATGTGAGTGTTATGTACACTCATATACAATATTATCAGTACCACTACCGTGTGCCTTGGCACACCTAGCAGGGCACATTTACACGCGCCCCTTACTCCCCAAAACTCTCCAAAACTAGAGAAATTAAGAGAGTGTAGTTCACATCCCCCATTTTCCTTTTTAATTGAAAAATGAGACATATTACATAAATTAAAATATCATTAATTATTTATATTAAAAAAATAAAATAAAAATACCAAAATTCATAATTTTTCATTATCTATAAATAGAGACCACATTTGATAGGTTTTTGAACACAACTAATTTTTCGTTTTTTTGTAATTATTTTATTATACTGACATATAATGAACATGTTACCCAATAAAATGAATATGTTTTCAAATATGATGAACATGTTACAGATTGCAGATTGAAATAATACATAATATAACATGTTCATTTTATTATGTAACATATTCATCTTATTCTATAACATGTTCATTTATATTATGTAACATGTTCTTCTTATTCTATAACATGTTCATTTTGCTACGTAACATGTTCACCTTATTGTGTATGTAACATGTTCATCTTATTCTATAACATGTTCATTTTATTATGTAACAAGTTCATCTTATTCTATATCAAGTTCATTTTATTATGTAACATGTTAACCTTATTGTGTATGTAACATGTTCATCTTATTCTATAACATGTTCATTTTATTACGTAACATGTTCATCTTATTCTATAACATGGTCATTTTATTATGTAACACGTTCATCTTATTTTAGAACATGTTCATCTAAATTTCATCTATGAAAATGTAACATTTTCATCTTATTCTATGACATGTTCATCTTACTCTATAACATGTTCATCTTACTATGTAACATATTCATCTAATTATAGATTTATGTCATAATCTTCCAATAAGATAAATTAATTGTAAAAAATAATAAATTAATTGTGTTCCAAAAAATATCAAATGTGGTCTCTATTTGTAGAGAATGAAAAATTATGGTATTTTTATTTTTATTTTTTGATACAAAATATGAATGATAATTTAATTTATATAATATGATATATGAATTTTATTACCCAATAGAAATGAGACACATGTCCCATTTAAAAAAAATTGTCTTACATCCTTACCTCACGCGCTTTTAGGGGAGTTGTATTTCACAAAAGGCCCTGACACACCTAGCAAGGTGTGTCAGGGCACACCTAAGTATTTGCGCAATATTATGTACCTATAGCATTACTCGTTATTATTACAAGCGGTGTTATTTTTGGGCCATAAAATACAATAATTGATTTAGTACATATCCACGTGTAATATTTAAAATTTTAGATGCCAAAATTGGGTATCAACAATATGATAAAAGTGTTCGGTAAATTAGTTGAGAAGCTACCTGAAATAAAAATTTCAACGAGCTTATTTGAAAAGCTACCAAAAGAAGCCTATCAAATAAGCTCAAACTTTTTAAATAAGTTCTTTCTACCACACGAAGCTTATTTAGCTCTTCCTGAAATGGAAGGACTATATGATTTAGCACCTAGAACACAACTCGACATTTTGGTCTGAGAAAGTAGTTCGGCTGTAACAAAGCTAGGAGAACTTCTGAAGATAAGAAGAAGGATGCTCGACTAAGTAGCCCTGACACGGGTTTGAGGTGCCGAGCTCACAGAACCAGCCCGACATGTACCTCTAGGAGCCCGGTAAAGTAGCCGACCTTGATGTAGATCAAGGTCGGATGGGGGACATGTCGGACCTAAAGGTGAGGCTGATTAGACCTCAGAACAAAATCAAGGATGTTCTCGGAAGGGCCATAGAAGACAGGATGGGAGGTCGAGATCACGACCTAAGTATCCACGGGCTAAAAAGTAAAAGGGGAAAAAATCTAAGTAAGAATGAAATAATCATTTGCCCAAAGACTATTGCCATGATAGAAACGTGGTAAGTTAGAGAAGTAGAATCCCATGGATCTCTTCGCTAACAAGGGCTCTCTTCAGTTTGAAGGCTTCAAAATCCTATATATGGACGACATGTTTATCCATATTACACACACATTTCCACGATTATCTTACATATCCTATATGCACAACTTTTGGCGAGTTCTGACTTGAGTGTAGGAGAGTTTTCCGTCGAGATCCCCCTCTTGACGTATTGCAGGTTATCAGGAGCTCAAGAAAGAGACTTGTTCAAGGTGGGGATTCTGCAACCCGATCGTAACTGAAAACTAACACATCACAAATGATTGTGTTTACTCTCATGAACCTAGAGTAAGCAATTCGTTTATCTATCT